AATATTTGTCTGAAGCCTACGTGTGCCTCGGTTTCCCCTATGTGCTGCAGAGTTACCTAATTTGGGGGGAGGGGAGGTCTGTTTGCTCTCTGGCCAGCCTAAAGCACAGGTGTGAATGATACCTAGCTGTCTGGGGCTTGGGCCCCATATTAATGGAGCTCTTGAAAAGACAATGGCAAATCCAATTGCCTGGACACGGACACCTAACAACCAACAACTCACAAGAGATATGGACTTCCCTGCCTCTCCACAGCCCCGCTCCCACATCTCCCCAGCTAGGGAACAACAGGGGGGAGGGGTATGAGGTGGAAGTTAAGTTGGCTGCAGGAAGCAGTCGGCTGGGGACACACCTGGACTGAGGCAAAGGGAGGTCAGAGGGACGAGGCTTTGGGCTGCATGCTGACCAGGATGGACTATGCTGTAACCTTCTTTTCTCTGTGCTAACCAAGGTCTTCCTATGCTGTGTTCCAGGTGACTAATAAACTGTCTGACAACGCCGGCTGAGTGCTACTGTAGATGCTGACAGCGGAGGTGCATTGCTCCTAAGATAGTACAAGTCTCCCTCAGGGGTCTGCCTCAGTTGGAATTGAGGAACAGAGCTCACGGTGTGAAGCAGAAGGGCTGAAGGACCAGAGGCCTGGCCTTCGGAGACGGTGAAGCCATGTGGCTTGCCCTGGAGGAAGCTTGAGACCCCTAGGGGGTCTGGCTCACTGAAGGGGTCGTCCCAGAGACTGTTCCAAAGCTGGGGTCATAGCACCAGTCCTGTGGATCCACGACACAGGGACCACAAATGTTCCAGTTCAAAGAGACCATGCAGGCAGCCGGCCTGAGCCCATTTCCATACATTTTTTAGAATAAAAATGTTAAGAGGAGCCCCAACCCAAATACAGGCCCTGTGCTCATCCCCTCAGGGAAAGGTTCAGAGAAGCCACACGTGGTCTGAGTTTGCCCATGGTAGGAGCCTGCAGTTAAGCAACATTGTTCTCGTGCTGCTATGCGGGGTTTTTACACCTTCCCTCTGAAGCTGGCCACTGTTAGACACACTGGACTAGAGGGCACTCATCTGATCCACTTTCCTACATTCCTACATTTCCTACATTGAGTACTAGCCACATCTGGCCTTCAAGCTGAGCACTGTCCCTCTGTTAGCCAGACAGTACATTTAAGGAGCAGACAGAGGTATGGGACAGTCTCAAACAGTAATTGAATTCTTACAGACATGCCTCAAAGGTTTGGGACAGACGCAGGCCTAGGCCAAGTGCACTCAACTCTAGGATAGTGCCGACGCAGATGCTGACTGCAAAGAAGCGCTCAGGAATTCAGATGCTCCTCTGAGCTGTCCAACCCAGCTGAGCCTCCAGCCTCAAAGAGCAGGAGCTGGAAGTCTAAGGTCCGGGGTGGCAGCTGCTTCGGTCTAGGACCCAGCAAGGCAAAGGGCTCTCTGGAAAGTGGAAGTTACACCATAAAAATAGATTCCATGCTCCTTCCTAAAGGTTTGGTTCAAGGTTTGGGGTGAGGAAGGAGAAGATTCTTGTTTGATCAGTTGCTAGCCTCAGCCCCATGGGTGCTGGTCTTTTGTTATAATGCTACCTTCCAGTTAAGACACGCCATGGAGTGGAAACCCAAGACCGCCCCTGTGCTCAACTCAAGCAGAGACAAGGGCGGGGGCAGCACCAGGGCTGCTTAAGGAACGTGGAGAGATTTGCAAGATGAAGGGCGGGAGAGGTTTATTAATTGGTCCCGCTGTGTCTATTTATTTCTCTTAAACCCTGCAAGGGCCAATCTGGACTGTGCCCTGGACTCCCATTCTTTGTGATGGGGAGGTACTCAGCACCACGCAGGATGAAGCCCTTATTTAGGGGATCTAAGAGCAAAGTGCCCCAAGAGATCTTACTGCTGGGGCCTGGCCTGAATGGAGTACGAGCGATGCTGTTGAATTATGGGTATTAACCTCTGTGCCATCCTCCTAGCCCGTCCCCCTGAGTGGCATGCGGCAGTGTTTTCTGGGCAGTGACCTTCACACACTAGACGTGGCATAAGAGTGGACAGAAATACACAAGCTCAATACCTCAATGCCTTCAAGAGAGAAAGGCTGTTGTGGAGAGCAGCGAGGGGGGTGGGGGAGAAGCAGAGGGAAGCATTAACCACCAGCTCTGATGGAGCAGAGTTAGAGAGACAAGAGGATCATTCTCAGGGCACTGAGAGCTCCTGCAAAGGGATAAGTGGAGTGCTGAAGAGGCATGACACAGCCTTCCTCCATGAAACGTAAGAGGAGAGGAAGAGACCAGCTAATAGAGGACAACTGTGACAGAATTGGGATTCCACGGAGGCCTGGGGGAAGACCTCAGAGAGCAGCCAAGGGCCAGGGAGCTGAAGCAGAGAAATAAATAGAAAACATGAGCTCATCCACCGTGAGCTCTCTGTACAGCGGCAGCTGAAGTACGAACCTGGCTCCTTCGGGGGAGCTGGCCTGGGCTACACACCCAGTGCTGGCATCCGGGCAGGGGGGTCTGTGCTCTGGCATTTTACTGTGGGTGATGGTGGCGTTCTCTATTCCCACACTAAGCCCCTGAGCTTGTGCCTAAGGCAGCGAGACACAGGGATTGCACCCCACTGGGCCCCCACACACCCCATCCTTGGGGACACCTGGGCAGCCTGGCTCAGTCCTCCAGGGAGCTGGGGCTTCTTCACCGCCTCCACGAGGGCAGGGTGCATCCTCTCCAGAGCCACTTGCCTTATTTGGTGCTCAGGAGCGCAGATGCTGTACAGTTTCCAAGCGGTTGCCATGGTGATGAAACGTAACCCAAAATGATGTTATTCTGGCTGCATTTTTCCCCCTCAAAAGCAGGCAGCTCTGGGAGCTGGGTTTATGCTGGGTAATGTTTCCTCAGTCAGCACCATTCCCTTCCTTCCCCCCTGCTCCCACGTGCAGGGAGCTTCTGGGCCGCAGCCCCCGCACAGCCAGACGTAATTTCCCAGAATGCCCTGAAAGCGACACACTGAGGCGTCATGCTTCCAGTTCGAGTCCCCACAAAGGGGCCTGGGGTTGGGTTCACGACTGGGGGGGGTTAGGGGTCAGCATCTCTGCTGATTCTCACTGATGAGGGGAGAGACCCCAGGACAGAACGGGTGTCGGCACAACATCACCACATCCATGGCACTCAGGAGCCAACATTTCCGCACAGTTTTCCTGTGGCCAGTTCCAAGCCCTCCCCACGCTCCAGGGGGGTGGCCCAGACGACCCAGCATCAGGCGCAGGAGCGACTTCCGGAAGGGAGGCAGAGGGGGAGAACTGGCCACAGATAATCTATGTAAAGAGTTGATTCCCTTCTTCCTCCCACCCCGTACCCCTCAGAGGACCTCGGGTGGGAGCTGAGGAAGCCACAGCACTGCTCCCTCTCACTCCTGGGCTGCTGGGGACAATCCACAGGTGTTCCATGTGGAGCCACACCCAGCTCTCCTCAGGTGCCCAGACCTGACCCTTATATGGGAATCGCAGGAGAAAACAAATGGCTCACACCGGGGGAGGGAGGAGGGAGGAGGAAAGAGGGGGAAGGGCTGGGCTTATTTTCCAACTGACACCCTGCCCAGCTCCCAAGTAACCAGGTAACCATCTGTGAGTGTCCAGGCCTGCTGGGTGAATTCCTCCAGTCCAACCACCTCCACCCTGCTGGCCAGCAGCTCCAGGACACACTCACATGGGTCAAGGCTGTTTGCAGCCCTTGAGAGGAGAGATTATTCCAGCCTAGGGGTGGGATTCCGAACCTGTGGGTTTCTCCCCCACTCCGTCCATGTGGGAGACACGGGCAGGAACGCGTGGGTCATGGGCAGCCCCGGCTTTTACCATTTATAGTCAAAGCGAGCGCAGAGCTGTCGCTGGGTCCCTGGAGAGCACAGCTCCAGCCCCCGAAACTCCCAGCTCAGCCCTGGCCTTCATTATTTTCCTTTCATTCTAGTTATCTCCAGGGTCATCTCATGCAGGGAAACTGGAGCCCTGTGGAATTTCTTCCCGGACCCTACCAGGGCTATGAGCGGCCAGGATCGCTTCCTCCTCTTCCCATCCTCCCTCCCCCTCTGCACACGTGCCCCTGAGCCCAAAGGACACTGTTCAAAGCTTTGCAATTGGCTGTGGAGCCGGCCTGTGTGTTAGCGAAGGTAGCTGGAGAAGTGGCGAGCTTCCCACCACGCCACACCCTCTTCCTTATGCACCTACCTAAACCCAAGCACTTGCAGCCCTACTCCTGGCTGCAGACCCTTCCCAGATATACAACCCCGCACATCCCCTTGCGGTTCAGCCAGCACACACAAAAGGAACCAGGCCTGGGAGGAAAGGGGAAAAGCGGGGAAGACGCATCCATCTTGCCTTCTGGGAAAGTAACTCAGCCAGATCTGAGAAACCAGATTGGGGGTGGGGGGGGAGCCAAGGGTTTAATGCAGCTGCTGCAGCACTGGCTGCTATGGGGCGTTTTAGAGGCAGGCTAATGAGCACTACCACAGCACTTTCATCTTCGAAGCTGGGGGGAGGAGCAGTGAGCTCGGAAAGTGACATCCAGAAATTAATTTACGCCCTGGTAGCTGCCCTGGTGCCACTTGACCGCTCTGCGCACCCAGGAACAAGAGTGTTCTAAAGGACCAGAAGCCCATTTCTCATCTCAACTGGGCTAGCAAGGCAGATGTTCCCACCCTTCCTTGGAGACCAGCAATGGCCCTGGGAGAGAGCCAATGTGAGGAGACCATTCCTGGCTCCAGCACATCGCTCGCCCGCGCCGCTTCTCGCCGCCCCCATTGGCCCGGGACGGCGAACCGTGGCCAGTGGGGGCCGCGATTGGCCGAACCTGCCACGTCAGCAGGTAAATAAAACTGGCCCGGCCCGCCAGGGTGCTTACCCTGGCGAGCTGCGTGCCGAACGTTGCCGACCGCTGCTCTAGTCCCAAGGGATCCAGCCCCTGGAGAGAACTCTGGGTCACAGTGAATGACAGGGGGTCACTGCCTGGTGTTACCTGCGGGGTTGGGGGCTCTACCTTCCTCTTCTTCTTCTGATTCTGCTTGTTTGTCCTCGGGTAGACGATCAACATCTCCAGCCACCTGCAAACAAACAGAGAACTACGGTAAGGTCCTCCCTAAGGAGCAAGACGGGCAGCCCGGGGAAGAGCTCACTCCCAGCAGAACTCAGTGTCCTCTGGATTCAGGATTCCCAGTCATTGGGCTGGCTGGGAGGCGCCTGGCTTTTAGATCTCCATTGCTTCAGTTTGCCCCTCTTGGCTGGACACAGGACCATGGAAGATGCTGTCTGAACTCTCAGCTCCTAGTGTAATAACGCTTTATGCTTAGCTGCTACTGTAAAAGGATGTGGGGGAGCCCAGAAAATGATAGCACAGAACATGCCCAACTTCACCTCAACTCGGCTTAGAGTCCAGAGTGCAATCCATTTGGGTACCATGGATATATGCCAATACATGTGGACTCCTGGAGGTCCTTGGTTAAGGAGTGACTTGATCACAGTCTCTAAGAATTTGACTGAGAGTTCTTCAAGCTAGCAGACAAGGTAGAACGTGATCCAATGGCTGGAAGCTAACGCTAGACAAATTCAGACCGGAAATCAGGTGCAGGTTCCCAAACTTTTTTTGCTGCACTCCCCTTCAGAGATTCGTGTCCCAGTGTGTGCCCCCCAATTTATCCTCCCTCCCCAAGCCACTTGCTTTACTCTCCCCCTCCCCACTCCTCCAGCCTGCAGCCCCAGCAAGCCCCTCTCCCCCCACAGCTGGGCTGCGATCCCTACTGACTCCACTCACTGGCATCAGCTGCTTCCTCCATGCTGCTGCTGCCACGGTCGCTTGGACTCCGATCCCTGCACCACTGCCACCAGCCCAGCATTCAGAGCACATGTAGGGTGTGATGCAGTGCGGGGGCAGCAACAGGCACTGCAGAAGCAGGCTCGCTCTCCAAATCCAAATCCTGCCCCCCAACTCACACCCCACTCCCACACCAGTAATCGCTTCCCTGGTGTGCCAGCTGCTGCCGCTGCACCTGCCTCCAGAGAGGCGCTGTCTCAACCAACTGCTTCTTCCTGGAAAGTAGGAAGGACGTGGGATTGTTCTATTTTACCCGCACCCTCCTGATAAGCAAGGGGCACGCCCTCCAGTTAGACAATCTAGACTCTAGTTCAAACAGGAATTAACTCTGGGAAGTTTTCTGGCCCGTGTTATACAGGAGAGCAGACCAGGTGACCACAGTGATCCCTTCTGGCTGTACAATCAATGACTATGTTGTAATAGCTGAGCCTACAAATTCATTCTGATTGCGAGCTCAACTGTAAGGAGTGAGTGAAAGTTCATAAGCCTCTAAAACAAATGGGAAAAGGTAGAACAGGGAGACAAAGACTGAATGAATCCAAACTGAGAGACCCACTGATATAACTCAAAGACTGTGTTAAGGTCATGCCTGGTAAACAGGAAAAAAGTGCGGGACTGGAAATCAAGGTGTCATGGCATCCAAAATTGGTGCATTGGAAACTAGGCCTAATTAGTGAACAAGATAACGAGGGAATGGGATGTTCCACCCATCAGTGGGGGCCTTAACAGAAAAGCTTTTGGGAAGAAACATTAGAAGACACAGATGCCAGCTGACAAAGACAGGAGAACAGGAAGGAGTGAGCTTCACCATCGTTCATGGCTGCCACTCCCACCATCTCCTGCTGCCCTGGGATCCACCGTTGCTGGATTTTCATCATCCTGAAAGATGTTCTGACCACACCAGACCAAGAGAGGGACCCAGATGACATTGCCATCTTCACTGGCTCTGGTTAAATCCCAAACACCATCCAAGATGTGAGATTTGGTTCTTCCTGCCCCTGTCCTCTTGTGGGTCCTTTCCTCACCAATCTTATTTCTTCTTTTTCCTATCCCTCTCCTTTTGCCTTCTGTCTAATAAGAGTCGGGCTTAGTCAGCCACAACTGGATATCACAATACTTCTATCAGCCTGTGACCAAAGAGGCAGCTAAAAGCAATGCCCTAAACAGCCCAATGCTGGTCCCAGTTTGCCAGGTCTCAGTGTGGCTAAGACGACTGCGTGCTGTGTGATTGCAAGCGAAAGTCAACACCAGAGACGGAAGCTGCATTTTTGCTCCTTGCTGTTCTTCTCTCCCCCTCGTGCGTGTTTGTCTTGTTGTGTCTTTTAGGAAATGGGATCAGACCAACAGCTCCAGCCCAGCTCAACTCCCTTTCTTCCTTTCCCCAAAAGGGCAGTTTTTACCATCTAAGAGACTGTCAAAACAATTCCTTCCACAGGCTTTCCCCAGCTAACAGGGAAGGGAACAAGGGACATTGCTCAAACGAAACCTTAATAGTCCAAATTTCAAAGGCTTTAACTGTTTCTCCTTCTTTCGTGTATCTTCAAAAAGATTTTCAATGATGTGTTTGCCACAGTATTAAGCAGGCTGAGGTCTTGTATACTGAACCTTGCAACCAAACACTGTTTAATGTTGGACAGTGACCTGGTCATGTTAACACCTTTGCCTCTTTGGGCCCATATAGTCCATCTAAACTGATTCAAGTGTCCCCTTCCTGGACCCACAGAACACCCATTCTTCCCTCACCCACTCTTCCCTCCATGAAGGGCAGAGCATGTCCAACTCATCGGTGGGGTTTGACCACATTACCAGTTGGATGCTGTATTCTGATACCTCCCCTGAAGCCATATTGCTCTGCAAGCAACCTCTCCACTGCCTTCCAGCAATGCAGTGCATGTCATCAGAGCTTGGGTGGCGTCAGCATTTCCATTACTAACCCATATTTTCAGGGGTTTATAACTTGACCATAAAAGCTCCCTCCAAGCAGGAACTTGGCACGCACAGAGTCTCAGCTTCTCGGAGCTGGTTAGGGACAACATCGCAAACAATACCCAGTAGACAGTAACCACAGCCTGAAGAGGAAGAACTCTTTTTGCAAGGGTTGGAGCTCGGGTGGGGTGTGGGGCGGAGGGGGCGGGAAGAGACCCAGCCACACAAAGCTACATAGCAACTCAAAAGACATGAAGTGCACCACAGAACTCCAGGACCACCCATAACCCCATCTGCCACCCTTGCCTCTTAGTTCTGAGCTACAGCCCCTCCAATACAGCTGTGGGGCCAACCCTAAAAGGAACCAGGGTTGAGGTCACAGGCAAAATGAGTTTGCTGGGTCTCATCCTAGCTTTTCAAGTGAAGATTTGGCCTCATCGCAATAAACCACAAACAATTTGGCACAGTCCCTTCTCAAGAGAGGCCAAAGACAGGAATGATGTCGGGGGAGCAGGAGGAGGGAAGGAAAAGAAGAGACTAGGACAGGACCGAGGTGCATCAGGGAAACCTCACAGACCAACCTACTGGAATGTATCTGCTAGACAGGGCTGTCTGTCTTCTGCTTTCAGAAATGCAATTGTTAAAGCCACGCTCCCACTGCATTTTATTGTAGAGTAATCCACAAAACAAACAGAAAGGAAATTCAGCATTAAAAAGGCCAGTCCTTGCCATGAGTCAGCTGTGCTGTGGATTCCTTTACCGGCTCTTGTCATGTCCAGATAAGCAGCCCATACATCTCAATCAACCTGGTTGCAATCAGGCTGCTCCAGATGTTTCATGCTTCGCTTCACCTAATTTCCCCCCCACACACACACTCCCGTTGAGTGTGTGTGTGCGCTGCTGTCGCATGAGTTTTGGGATGACCACATCAAGTGGGTTTTGGTTAGGCAATAAATATCAAAAAGCACGCAACGGACGCAAGACAGCTCTCCGAATACGGGAATCTTAGCAGCATGCTGCAGCTGCAAAATAAAACTACCATGGCTTGAAACCAAGTGGGAGGATTAATGCCACGGTTGGAGGCAAAACGCAGAGTTTCAAAATAAGATGCAGGGCCAATGCACAAGAAATCAGCCCCACTTTCTTTGCAGCATGCGTGTCTCTTAGCATTACCCACAGCGAGTAGAGTGGGGTAGAGTAATGGAAGACTGAGCCGGATACTGGAGCATGGGAGAAAGAGGAAAACAGGAGATACCAGTAACAACTGTGTGACTGGGCACAGCACAGGGATCAGGGAGAGAAGGGAGGGGAAAACGGGCATTTTTGCCAATGCTTCAGGGCATGACCAAGCACAGCAGGAGAGTCTTGGAGTTGCTGTAACATTGTAGGGCATAGCTAAGTGGGAGAAACAGATGCCAAGGGGAGTTGGGAGGAAGGGGGAGTTGGTGTCCCGTGATGCTGTAGGGCAGGGGAAGAGTCGGAGAGCAGAGCTAGGGGGAGATCTCCACCTGTATCCGGTCAATATCACCACACAGGGCAGAGAAGGAACCTCCGGTGGAGCAGGTGTTAGCCGGAGACCCAGAGCGGGTGAAGCAGGAGCGAGCCCTGTACAACGGGCCCAGGGACACACTGCTCACTCCCCTCTTCCCCTCACTTTTGGTTTCCTTCAGCTTCCGAACTGATTACACAATTTACAAAGGTTTATCAAAGTGAGAACTCCACCGCCTCCCCCACAACGGGGAAGAACGACCTGCCAGCCAGCCCAGGAGCACAAGTGCAGACAAAGCACAGACATCTAACTACGGAGCCACCTGGATTATGGCTACAAGGTTTTAGTGCAGACAAGGCTGCTGATTAGCCTCCCACCCACCAAACACAGGACCCGACTGGCTCATCCCAGGGCGTTGCTGGCACCCATCAGCACCCCCTCCTGCAAGAAGAGATCCCAACCTCTCAAATTCCTGTCACTCCCCAGCCTCAGCAAGCGAGTCCCAATCTTATTTAAAAATCAAAGCATCAGCCCCTCTCTACTAGGAGCCCCATTTGCTGCTGGGAACAGAAGCCCCATTGGCTGCTCCCTATGGCAGGAAGAAAAGCACTGAGGCAGGGAAGCCAGAGTTTCTTTGGAGGAAGGTTTGAGAGCAAGGCCTGGCACCAGTGAAGTGGGGATCCCGGCAATTACAGACCGGTAAGTCTAACGTCAGTACCAGGCAAATTAGTTGAAACAATAGTAAAGAATAAAATTGTCAGACACGTAGAAGAACAAATTGTTGGGCAAAAGTCAACATGGTTTCTGTAAAGGGAAAT